GAACTCAAGACTTCCAGGTCGCTATCTTGATGACTCCAGCCACTTGACGACCACCACAATTCATATTGGAACCAGTGTGTCAGAATGGAGCGGGATTCCTCATCTAAGACTGCTATGTGAATTCACTGACTAAATATTTCAGATACAATGACAGTATTGAAATTATTCAGATTACTATTCAGAATCACAGGTACTTGAAAGTGGTGGTGTGAAACGAGTCATTATCCATTTTGATCAAGCGCCTTCCAAGCGTCTTTCCTATTTTATCATTCTCAATGCAGCCCGTTATACAGACCTGTTTTCAGCAATACTTCAATAAAAGTATTTTCGAATAATAATCAATAATTAATCGAATCGATAGTACCCATTCGCCAACAATTGTTTTCCACCTCTGTGGCTCCGACCTTCAGAAAACAGTGTTCAATCAAACTCGCCCACACCGTTCGATTCTGAGCAAATGTTGTCTCAATTTCAATTCCTCGATCATGCGCACGATTCGACGCGGTCAGTCTATTCACTCAGCTCCTCACCGTCCACCGAGTCCTATCACAGTTCTGCCTTCCCTTACACAGAAGAATCTGACGACGGCAGACCGACGCACACAGGTTATCCGCGTATGCCTACACCCACTCAGTTGGACTTGGTCGATCCAGTATACGCCTCTAGCATGCATTCCGATGAGACCGGATTTGAACAGTTTCCCGTATTGGGCAGTCCAAGTCTGTTATTCTACGACCCGGATTCACAACATCTTCTCGAATCCTGCATACAGTCCACATTGACCGAGGATGAAAATGTCCCGTCGAACAGTTTACTTGCACTGGAATCCATAGAATCATCACCACCTCAAACTTCCGCTTCACCGCCTCCCTCACCACAGACGTTGGCAACATCATGCGACCAGGCAGCAGCAACGGCAGCAACCGTCCACCCAGTGGCCTGTTCGTCTCCCACCGACCACTGTCTGATATCGGACAAGCAATCCTCGCAGCCTGAGCGTCCAACTCGACCACACTCCCTCGCATTCCGAGCACTAATCGATTCGCCCAAATCAAACGGTCTTTTGAGTCAGACCAATGATATGCCATTGTCTTTCAACAACCCGTTTTTCGGTCTAGAAGAGCAGTTGGCCAGTGCGGATATCGCTTGGATGGGAGCATTGGATATACCAAGTAAGTGAAATAAATGAGTGTATTCTGTATGCATTGTGCGAGGTAGATGAATGTATGATTGGATCATCGCAGCTTTTTCAGGAACATTTCCAGTCTTCGTCTTCTGTCGATTGCTAATCGTGAAATGAAGTGGTGTTTAAAGTGTTTATTCATGCACCGCATTTTTACAAAGGTTTCAACCAAAGAATTACAAAAACGAGTAAAATTTTTGGAATGATGTTTTATTATTATATAACACTGTGATAAACATTAAGAGGAATAAAGTCTACAGCCATGAGGACCTAATCAGCACACATAAGAATCAGCGCCCTAAGCCCGAGACTCCAGCGGTCCAGTGGTATTCATTTGAGAGATAGGGTAGTTGAACAAAAAATTGGATAGCGATGATGGAGTTTCAGTTCAGTTCAATTTGTACAACCATTAACTATGCGCTTACGTTCGCCGGTTTTGGTTGCTGTCTTTTGGCCGATGGAGTACGAACCTCAAACCTCGAACCTCGGGCCAACCGCACGCAAACGACAGCGACTTAAACCGCTATGTGATGTCAAATAAACAAATCTCTGTTTATCTAAGCAACTAGAAATTATTTATTCATTTATTTCATGAGTAACATAAACAATTTTGATCAATCCATATTTTTGACTGGGATGTCTTATCAACTCAAAGTTAATAACTTGGTATTAGTCATTTAGCATTAACTAGATCTTAAATAATTCCCCTCTTAAGGCGCATAAGGGATCGTTATCACTCCACTAGCTCATAGTTGTTTCGGTTATCAGATCTCCACTTTCTTAGGCGTGTCCCCAAATTGAATCGATAAATCCGGTAGCCCATTTTGTCACCTATGTTTTTTAAACTTTATTTCTTTCTGTGTATGTGTGGTTGAACATTTGATTGTGTATTTGTTATGGCACACTTTTTGGAGTTCCGCCGACGAACGGGACCCGTCGACTTACCACACGATTCCGGTGTTGGCTTCCTCCGGTTGGGAGTTACATACGATCATAGATGTGCATACAGTGGCACACCCAAAATGTACCCGAATTATGCCCAGGCAGTGGGTGCCACAATATGTAATACAAAATAACCCAGGTTAATGCTTACCTCTTAGCCCAACTGTTAATGCTTTTTATTGCAGGTACCGGGTGAACGAGGTAAACAAGGATATATTGTGCGATGGTGATCCACAAACCCGAGTAAAGTTTCGGATTAAGGGTATGTGTAAATAAGCTAGTTAAACCTTACGAATGTGATTGGACGGAAGCCTATAATCAAATTTAAGTGCTGGTGATGGAGCCCACATCATTACCACCATAGATCTTTAGAATGGGAAATCGGGAAAATTAACACCCCTAGAACAATTAATGGATCAGCCCTGACCCCGGTCTTCAAGTGTGACTTGCTTAGAAAAATACAGGCGAACTCTATGAGCAGGGTATACACCTGATCGATCAGAAATGTATGACTAAACCATACGGTAAACTATGGAGGTTTGGAATTATGGAAAGGAATTTAAATTGTACTAAAAAATCCTGGTAATAAATACAGCAACTTGTCGAGCGGTACATTCATATGGGATAATTGAAACTGGTGTACCAGGGTTCTTCCATACAGTTTTTGCTCCTGAATTTTGGGGCTTAGGTTCTCGACTCCAAATCCTAAGGTCAGTGGTTCAAGTTTTAAAAGGAGCGCGACGTTAATATCAACTGATGCATAGTACGAACAAAGATGTGTCACTTGTCGGCCAGCACTCACTCCCTGATATACATTCTACTAGCTTAAATGGTTCGAAACAAGCTTTTAATCTTACTCAATTCCTCCTGACTTCCTTGGTTGGAATTATATTATCTCAGGACAGTGTGAAAACAGTTTCAATGTGATTAGGATTCCTTGAAAGCTGGTTCGCGTACAACAACGTGACTCTGAAAACCTGTTCGAAGACAACTGGGCGCAGATTTCTAGAATTTTGACTGAACTAATTTGGTCCACCATGAAAGGTTGAGGCATCATCTCAAATAGGAAGCCATACCATTATTTTAATGCCGCAAAATAACAGTAAGCATTTGTTTCAAAAAGAGTAATGAACCACAAAGATATTATCCTGGGAAATGATATCAGTGTGATCATTTAATGCCAGTACTGGTATAAGGCGCTACTCCAATGTACGAAAATGTGCCCGTTACTCAACAAAATCACCTCAGAACCACTGAAATGAATTTTCATCGAAATTACTCTCTGTGATGCAAATATGGCACTAAGGTTCATGGTCCTTCCTTCCACATGTCGGAATCGACCACAATACAAAACGAGAAAAAATGAAGTGAGAAAGATAAAATGTGTTATTGGTTTGGCCTCATGGGCATACACGATGTGGTAGCGATCAACGTTAGTAACAAGTATAATCACTTGATTCAAAAAAGAATGACAAATACATATTGTAAAACGCTTATAACATCCAGTTTGTTGACAAACGAGCACGGGATCAAGGTGTGATTCGAGTAATCCCATTGACGGAACTCTCCGAGTGTCTCACTAAACTTGCAAACACAAGGACGCATTTGTAAGCCAAAACGGATATGAATCAAAAGTTGGGATATGTAAATAATCGATAGTTATGTAAAATGCTAATTAGTGCCAACAGTCTTTCGTTTTAGGGAACAGTATTTTGATGTTTGGCTTTCCCCGAAGTCGCACCGATGAACAACACTTCCAGCTCGGAGAACACACCAACACCAGCATCCGCATCCCAAGCTACAAATATTTCACATCATTTCTGACACATATGGGCGTGAAACGCTTAAAATTAATTTGATCCTGGCTTTGCTTGAGCTGATATATTCGGTTGTTTCGTCAAGTTTTTGTCTTCACATGTTCTCCACTCCTCTTTTGCACTCCACAGGAAATATGAGCGACTTTCAATCGGTTTGATTGCTTAATTCTTTTAAAGGCGTCAGTTCAACCCATCTGACTACTTTTTGTTCTAAGCAAGTAGTTTACAATAGTCACAGTGGATAGCCTAATAAGTGACTCGCACAACCTGTGTCCTGACAGGGCAACCCGTCAGGTCATACCAACAAATTTCGGCAAAGTTAAATGAGGTCCCGATCGATCTACGGTCAGGCCCTTACCACAAATGAGCAATTTCATTGTGCGTACTCCCTGGAACTAGGCAGTATTTTTTAAATCATCATTCGGATCACGTGACCGCCGACACTGATTTGAGGCGCTTTTTAACTAGCCACAGAACCATTGTGATCATGGTCTGTGAACTTATCAGAATCAGGAGAATTAATTAGAAATTTCGATCAAGAATTGTGTAATGGGTTAAATCTGCGATAAAATAACCGAAATAAACTACATATGAATGCATCCTTGGATATTGCGAGCGGGAAGATGATTTTGCTGCATCCAAGTTAATGAATTTTCAAGCCTCATCAGCAAGCACTTTATGTTGGGTACCGGTAAGTTCTCAAAGAATACACAATAATCATACCTCAAAGGTGAATTCGTCGTGCATGTAGCAAATGATGCGTGAACTGAAAAGCTGGGAAGCACTGGACAGCTGTTTCGACCTGATTGGGTCTCACAAAAATGGGTTGTGCTCCAACGTGTAAATGGAAAATGAAAAACGGTCTAATCAGCGGACAACTGACCAAGTGGGTAGTACGTTTACATTCTACCTGGAGGTCCTGGGTTCGATCCCCAGTTGGGTTGATGGATTCACGCTGCTGATGAGACCCAACTAGGTCGAAACAGCTGTCCAGTAGTGCTTCCTAGCTTTTCAGTTCACTCTTCATTTGCTATATACACGACGAATTCACCTGTGAAATTGAACTAAATCCTCCATTACTCACTTGAAATAACCATATGGCCTTATCAACACAGGCTAGATGTATTGATCGTTGTGCAATGGTTGCACCATTGCCAAACCTCGTAAATATCCATCTAATGTTTACTTGTTTCGAAAACTACCTCAAGGTTATTAAAAATAATCATCTTCAACTGGAGCTGCATCAGCGGCAAATCAATCTGTTTCCCCACCTTTTTGATCGTTTTAAAATTGCTGAGTTCGCATCAGGCGAACAAATTGGAAAAAAACTGCTTCACATTGAATTAATTTATCGGCCTTTTTGGCCACTGACTGATTAAAAGTAAGTAGATATACTCTGGAAAATCGGCTAGTATGTCAGCCCATTGTTCTACGGACACGCTGATAATAACGGAAGTTATGTGATATCCTCTACTCATGGTGAGAGATTGTAAGAGTTAGGATGAAAAAAGGGAGACTCACTGGTGAATTTGTGTGTGGTTTTTGAGCATTATGTTTCTAGGTTTTAAATTGACTGCCCTGAGAATCTCTGAAGCTATTAACAAAAGAATTTTCAATCAAAATTCATCCGATTAGACATCCCAAAGAATAGTGAATTAAAGAATGCATCGGCGTGATCTGAGGGTAACTCGAAAGGTGGAATCGTTGAAGGAAACGAGTACAACGGGACACATTGGTCTTCGAGCAGCTTAGGTCACTATCATTAGACATCACAGGCTCGAACACTGCAATCACCTGTTCTCCTTGATGGTGAACAGCTGTTCCGCGGCTCGGTTTAATTTTATGCCTATCGGATTGAGCTATTTTGTGCTGTTTTCCACTTTAAACTGAAATTTTGTTGCCGAACATGTGAATGGTCATTCAGATACAGACATCCTGAAAATGAAAACAAAACTACTCGTCTGCTTTCTTCTCTATGAATCGGTCCTCCATGATATTTAGTTCAGTTCATTTCAGTTTGCACACGGACGGAATCGGTCGAAACCAAATGGTTGTGTTGTTAACGAGTTGCCTTGACTGCCAATGCTGCACGTGATTCGTTCGTGCTGCCTTTGTTGAAAGGCCGAATCGCGTACAGTAGATATGTATACATTAAGAATATACCTTGTCTCCCTTTTGCTTCTCATTGGCCAGCCCGAAGAATACCACGTTTCAACAGATTTGGAACGCT